TACATATATATATAGATATACATATATATATATATCTATATAGATATATACATACATCTACATACATACATATACATACATCTACATACATACATATACATACATCTACATACATACATATACATACATCTACATACATACATATACATACATCTAGATACATACATATACATACATCTGTATACATACATATACATACATCTGTATACATCTATATGTATACATATGTATATATATACATATGTATATATATGTATAGATATAGATGTATACATATGTATATGTATATGTATGTATACATATGTATATCTATGTATATGTATACATATGTATGTATACATATGTATATATATGTATATCTATATATATATATGTATGTATACATGTGTATATATATAATATTAAAATAAAGTTTAATTGAATTTATGTATGTATATGTATGTATATGTATGTATACATACATCTATATACATACATCGTATATATATACATCTATATGTATATGTATATATATGTATACATATGTATATATATATGTATGTATACATATGTATGTATACATATGTATGTATACATATGTATGTATACATATGTATGTATACATATGTATGTATACATATGTATGTATACATATGTATGTATACATATGTATGTATACATATGTATGTATACATATGTATGTATACATATGTATGTATACATATGTATGTATACATATGTATGTATACATATGTATGTATACATATGTATGTATGTATACATGTGTATGTATATAATATTAAAATAAAGTTTAATTGAATCAGGAAGTACTTGAGGTTGAGAAGTTATAATATTGAAATTGAATGGAGGAAAGAGGAGACTTGTGCAAGGAAGCAAACCAAATCTTTCCAAGGTAATGAATGGTATAATTACTTATTTGTGTTATTTTAATTATATATCATTAGATATATCAACTCTTTCTTTTAGAATAGAATTCTCATAATATGTACATTTAATTAATAGTTAATAATCAATAAGTGAAGTGTAAGTTAAATTATTTGAGATGTGTCTTTAAATCAAGGTGAGTGATTTTTTTATTCTATACATTAAATCATGCATTAAAATAAATGTTTTAGTAAATGGATACTTGCCTTATGAAATGGTTTAAAATAAGTTTATCAGCTATACATTGCATATTGAAAGTCTGAAAAAGTACAAGGGATGAGAGGAAAATAATTTACATATGAAGGTACATTTAAAAGATTTTAATTGATATGAAAAGAAAGGTAAAGATTTAAGTTATACAGGAGTACGTTAGATGGTACTGAAAGGAGATATAATATACTTGTGCACGTTAAAAGAAATGGTAAAAGTGTACATTTGAATACAATTTGATAGTATATTCGAGTACAATTTTATGGGTACGTTCAGACATATTTTTAGAGTGCCTTTAGGTACATATTTGAGGATATCTTTGGGTATGATGGTAATCCTGTGATGACTAGTAAAATAGTTAAGTTGTTAAATACTTAAAATAAAACAGAAAGAGTTAATCTTAAAGTTTTAATGTAAGTTAAAGCATCAGGTCTAGTCGTGATATTGAGCTTCTCCAAGCTTACCTCAGTGTGCTTGATTTTCACTTGCATCCAAGTTTGGATATATCAAGTTGGCTTAACAAAAATCCAATTATGGGTGTTAATAACCTTTGGAGAAGTTGAGGAATGCCCAATTTGATATGGAAACTATAAGCAGATTGTAGGAGTGTACGATGAATGTTAGTGGAAAAAGCTGAAGGGGATGAAGTTGGAGTTCTTTGAAACTATGCCAATGATTTTGTTTTCTTAACTTTTAGAAGGCTAAGAGGGGATTTATATAGGTTTGAGTAAAAATTGCTATTTGACTGTGGATGTAACAACCCAAGCTTAAGTAACTGATGTTCTCATATTGCACTAAACTCATAATCATTCACCGGACAGATATAATTTTAGAGGCGACCCCTACAGATTCAAGAAGTGGTTCCAATCGTATAGCACTTTGTTTTGTCTTGGGTTCATGGGATGGCTCCCATATCATATCACTCTATTCTGTATTACACTTAGTTCATATCTTCAGGTTGGTGTAATGCTCTGATACCATTTGTAATAGCCCGAACTCTCACCCATAGGGCTGTAAACGAGCCGAGCTTGAGCGAGCTTAGGCTTAGCTCGTGTTCGGCTCATGTTCAACTCGAAATTGACTCGTTAAAATTAAATTGAAAAAAAATAGATGTAAAATGTTGGATTCGAATCTGGACTAAATGTATGAAATAAAAAATATAACCACATTACTGCACAAGGTGCTTAGACATAAATATATATAATATTTTATTATATAAATAATATATATAACATATTATTATATAATATATTTTTTTTATTTTGAGCTAAAACGAGCCGAACACGAGCGAATAAAGAGTTGTTCGTGTTTGGTTCATTTATAATTCGAGCTTTAAAAACATGTTCGTGTTCGACTTGTTTACTTAACGAACGAACCGAACACGAGCTGTTCACGAACAACGAGCTTTTTTGACAGCCCTACTCACCCATCGAGATATTATCCACTTTGGCCTAATGCTCACGATTCTGTTTCTATTGTGTAACTTCCTAGAGGGTCACCCATCCCAGGAGTCCTCCCATGCAAACACACTTAACTTTGGAATTTCTATTGAAACTCCATCTATTACGCCAAAAGGCGCCTCAATGTTTGAGAGTTCAACTTCATTCTACTTAAAGGGGTTCATGGTGGAAAAGAGGATGATAGGCCAAGCGGTGTTCCTGAGGTTTTTCTTGGGGTTTACTAGAAGGGAAATGGACGTTTGTGTTTTGGGGATTAAGATTTTCGTTGAAATTTATTGCTCATGAGGTTCTCTTGGATTCTCTGGTTGAATCATATTAATACCTTCAACATCATCATTGCCATCATCATTAGATTTATCTAAGTCATTTGGGGTCACTTTATTAGTATTCCTACGTCATTCATACATGTTTAATGTGGCATGGGCGTTGAACCTATTTTGTTTAATTCTTTCTTTTTTTACAAGTTCTATTCAGTTTACCCATTTTCTTAATTGTTCTTTTACTCCAATTTTATTTATTTATCTTATTGCGACCTTTGCTCGTATGTGTTCAACCCAATCATGCATATTTTTAAATATTTTTTCTTTTAATAGTTGTCAATCCATCAGTAACTATTACATCGTCTCTTTTTAGTTTAT